GCAAGGCAGAACGACATTTGTACCAACATCATCCACGTGACATGAAAGCTTGTTTGAGATTTTCGATCCAAATCATAATACCGTCAAGTGAAATACGTCTCATAATACCGTCAAGTGAAATACGTAGCATAATACTGGAGTACCGTCAAGTGTAATACAGTAATACGTGTCGGACAGTCAATTCAAGTCGGACACGTACGTATATAAGTTGACAAAAAGAATATCAAAGGTTTACCTTTAACATATACCACTCCGTCCCAAATCACTGACACGTTTGATGTTTGCCACATTGTGGTATTATGACCAATGATTGGATTTGTGTGAAATTTGTACCAACCAAAAGAGTAGGATCTTGGCTATAAGGTCATATAGTTATATTGCCATTCGTCCAACAACTGCGTGTGTATTCTTCGAATAAAATCAGCCGCTCAACCCAAAATTTTCAAATGTTCACTGGACTTGAAGAATGTATGGAGATTGTCTCAAATATATCGAAAACAAGAGGTGACTTCGGCTGTATAATTTAATTCCCAGGAAGATGTCAATGTCACCTAAATGTACCCATGTCACCTTCCTTGTGATTGGCTCAACTGTACTGGATAAAGTAATATTGTTAATAAAATTGATTGTTTTCTAATTTCACAACTAATAGAATGTCCAAACGTGTCAGTGATTTGGGACGGAGTGGTACTTCGAAGTATAATACCTTCTATACATTATACTTCGTGTTACCTGTATAAATCAATTAGCAAACATACCCTGCACTTAGCGACCTTACTAGAGGTCATGTTGATCTCTGGTAACATGGGAAGCTAATGATAGGCACTTAATATACGCAAATGCTCAAAATACAGAGCCCCATTCGATCACAAACTTGGAGCGACCTCACGAGCACATCTGGATGCCTAGACGAGCTGCGACTGGATGGGGAGAGGTAAGGAACATCACACGAGCATACATTCTTAAGCTTACAAAAATACAATCACTATCGACTGTGCACCGTAAGATTTTCTGGTTTGAAAAATAAGGTCACAAAGTTTTGGGGTCATGACACACTAACTACTTTGACTTTTCCGGAACATGAAGTACGTATCAAATCAAAGCTGGAATGTGTATCTATCAAATGAGCCAATCCGCTTGCGATTACGAGGAAAATTTAGTCCAATCAGAAGTCAAGTGTTGCAATCATTATGGAACAGAGTAATAAAACGTAACGTTCCTTCAGATTATACGCTAACGTTACTGTATGTCTATCCGGCCAGTGTATTACTTGCTCCATATATGAATAAAAACGCTAACTCGAACACCCCATCACACTTCCAATCGCAGCGTTTCCACAATGAGTCCCATCTTGTTGGGGTAATCCAAGTGACCTGTGATCAAAGCCGAGAGGTCGGCGTTCTCGACCCCACACACTTTCACGGGTGCCAACCCTGCTGGCGCGCCAATCGAAAAGTTCTATCACCACATAATATTGTAAGTTTTACCATAGTATTCTTCACATCTCCACGTGTCAACCAACTCCATCACACACACACATATACTATCATACCTGATATCGAAACATCACGGCGAGCATCCAGTCGTTTGCAGAGTAGCCGTTGATCCATCTACCCGCGACCACTGCCTTGACAGCGTTCCACTCTGTCACAACCACGGGCATCGCTGCCCCCAGCATCACAGCGTTTTCGATAATCCCGAGCCCAGCGTCCTAAACATTATCATCACCATCGCATCGACACTCGGTCAGGTTACCCCCTGGGCGGCCAAGTGCTTCAAGCACGCAAAGATTAGCCGCCCGCCCATGCCGTAGCCAATCAGCGACACAGGCCGCAGTCCCTGCTGCCGTGCTAACAGCGCCTTAGCCAGCAAAACGCCGCACGAGTCTGCTCGGGACATGACCATCGCCCACTCCGAGTCGATCATATTGCACAGGTTGATCACAAACTTGGGCAGCGCCACGGCGGCAAACAGCGCGGCAAAGATCGTGCGCTGGATGATCTCGCCGCGGGCGTAGCTGAGCACCATCTCTTTGGTGAAGGTGCGCATCTTCTTGCCAAAGCGCACCAGCACGTCCTTTTCCCAGCATAAACTGTACTGGTCTCCAAATGGCATGCGATGCTTCCATCGCCACGCGCGAAGTTGCACGGGCGACGGTTTCCCTTCCATTGGTAACCCTTGGTCAAGGCTAATTGTGATCTACAATATGAAACAATAACCAGTGATTAACAACCAACTAACTAATTCTCTATGGGGTATGTTGCTAGCATAAATCAAAACAGAACCTCAAAACATATACAGCTCGAAATTGGATAACTACATGGAAAACACCCCTTTTTAGAATATCTCTCTTTTAAAATAATTATAAACAAAAATAATATCAAAGCATTATCATATTCGATACACCACAAGCAAGAAAAAGTAGCAACGTAGAACCTAGTTGACGACGACTACAAGTCGACGAAGCAATATAATATATATATATAATTCATACTACGTCATATCGTTTTGGGACGAAACGCACAAGCAAACAAAACATAGTTGGGTCAAGTATTTAAGCCAATTCACATGGTTTACTCGCCCCATGTCACACATCAAGACAAGTGGTGACTTCTTAAAATATATTTATATTTTATTAGTCCTTTCGACGACAAAAACAATATATATATATATGGGATGCCGTTTGGGCAATCCTGTGGCTGCCGACAATCAATCGCATCAAAAATACATGGCCACTTACCGGATCCTGGTCCAGGGGCACGTTGTACTGTTTGCGCAGCATATCAAACAGCTCGTCTTCGCGGCCCTTGTAGCGCTCCGCCATGCTGTCGACCGATCCGAGCTTCTCGGGACAAAACTGCGCGTAAAACGCCCGAAGGTACTCGCGCGGAGTCCCAAATGAAGTGGAAAACTCAGCCATGTTATCGTCGTCGAGCCACCCAGCCACACACACGTACACGTGCATGCCATCGCCCGGGGTTAGCAATTGGAACTCAAATTGCTTGATCCCGAGTGTCCGTCGATCCGTCTTGAAGCCAGCGAGGCCAGCCCCCGCCGTGCCTAATAATACCATCTTTTAGACATCCTCATACTGGGCAGTACATACTAGTAGTATATGTTTATATGTAGGCTTGGGGTTTGTCGATATTTGATTGACAACATCGACAGAAGACTATATCGACCGACCAATCAAAATGCAGCAACAGCACGCAAGTAGCCAATCAAATGCACTCTCTCTCCACATCAAATTGGTACGTGATATTTATACTAAGTCGTGTGAAACTGGAAGGAATATACTACTATCAATACATACAAACTTCAGTACAATTACTCGATTGATCGATATAGTGAATCAAAAAGGTTGGCTTAACATTCAAAGTTGTTGGCTGAAACAACGATAATAATACTCCAAATATTGAAGAGAATGACAGCATGGATGGGTACTGTAGTGCATCCATCCCACAAGTATCAATATAAACATGGATTTGGTGGACAAGAAATAGTGTGGGGCCCCTTGATCGAACAGAAATAGTGTGGGCTACAACGTAATTCCCTTGACCAAGAATCGATGATACATTTGGACAATTCATACTCAAATCCAACAGCGTTTCATCTAAGGACTAGTATCGTACATACCAAACAAGACGGTGGCGGCGGTGACGACCCCCGAAGACGCCAACGCGGTCCCGATGGCAGCGCCGGCGCCCCCCAGTGCGGTGAACCCCGCGGCCACCAGCGGCGTCGCGAGGCCTCCTGTCAGCGCCAGCAGCGTTCCGCCGGCAACTGCCGCGCCACCAATGGCTAGATTGCGTCGCCAGTCACTCCATTTACGGGGACTTTGCACTTTTTTGGTCGATTGAAGTTCCGTGGCTTCGAGAAGCAACGCGCGAGCCAACACGACTTCCTCTGCGCCGATGGCGGTCCAAGGGAGGTCGTGGAATTGGCGCGAGGCTAGGCGAAGCATGGATCGGGTACGTGCGTCGTAGCTAAGAATATGACCGTATGAGACATCTGGGTGGTTAAGAAGATGGAAGTTGTACCCGACAGCGTGCGTGGTGCGCCACAGAATGAAGCAGAACAGCTGCACGATCTCGTCGCGGGTGAGCTCCGACTCGAGAACGGCGACGAAGGGGGCGCTGTCGATGGGCATCTCACGGAGAAATGCGCTCGTCGAGTTGTCCTCAGCGATCTGCGACCGACTGCGTTCCGTCTGTACCACGGGCATCAATCCTTCCGAGGCGGACGACGACAAATCGCAGCATGTGTCGGCGAGAAATCGAAAATAAGACTGGGCCCACGTCCGCGACTCGGAACCATCATTGACTAAACTGAGGGAGCATGCTAGCACACCACCGAGAGCTCGCTTGCCACCCGACGACAGGCGCATCATCACCCGAGCGTGCGAGTCTTCGATGGCTTCAGGTTGATTGGTGTAGATGTGCAAAGAGCGTGGAGGTGCAGGAAGAGTACTCTGGTTTGACGGTGTGCGTGGAGTTTCAGGTGCGTCCATGGGTGTTGGCTTGTGCATTGCCAATGCCTCCATGGATGCCTCAAGTGACGTTGGCGGCTGGTCCTTTGATGACATATACCACTTTATTACAGTAGTTGAAGATGCAGAATGAAACCACAGATTACCCCTAGCAATTAATACTATCACAATTCGTCGTACTGTACTTTCATGGTACTCGGAGTATTTCCGAACGCATGACATGTAAACACAAAAATATTCGAAGAAAGTACCTATTTTTGTGGCTTTTTCGAGAAAATTCAGCAGTTTACTGTTATGTCATTTATACTATTAATAGTCACTGAATAATTTGATCTTAGTCCCTGTCCCAGGTGTAAACTATCCAATTTAAGAGGATCCGGATAGATCATCCTGTATATTTAAATATACTTTGTTTCACAGGTGCTTCGCGGCCCACGATTGGTCCGCTGCAATTGTGTGGCGCAAAGGTGGTGACTTCTGTGACTTTCGAGCGCTGGTGCCCAGGAACATGCTGTCCACGGCCAAGTTGACCCGCGCCGTCGCGCAAAAGCTCAAGTCGCAAGGTACATGGAGGACATACCATCATCGAAGTATGCTTCATCTTACCGTATGACTCATGCGTAGTGCGCTTGTTTCAATCGTCCGCGGTGTTGAACAACGTCCAAGGAGTACGTCGCCGCCTTTTCCGACCCATCAACGGATCACATGACTCTAACGCGACATGTGTTTACAGGAAGCGCCTCCTCTTACCCGTGTGTATGGAGGTTTGAAGGACGAAGATCGTATCTTCACCAACTTGTACGGTGAACAAACCTGGCGTGTGGATGGTGCGTTGCGCCGCGGCGACTGGCATCGCACCAAGGACTTGCTGTGCATGGGTCCTGAATGGATCATCCAGGAAATCAAGGACTCTGGCCTACGTGGCCGTGGCGGGGCCGGGTTTCCCTCTGGTCTCAAGTGGTCGTTCATGCCCAAGCAAACCGATGGTCGTCCGTCGTTCTTGGTAGTACCCGGCCATGATCCTCGCTCTCGTCTTCTCCGTATCGCTCACACACATGTCCTAGGTCGTGAACGCCGATGAATCTGAACCGGGCACGTGCAAGGATCGCGAAATCATGCGCAAGGATCCGCACAAGTTGGTGGAAGGGTGCTTGATCGCCGGGTTCGCCATGCGTGCGCGCGCCGCGTACATTTACATTCGCGGCGAATTCTTCAACGAAGCCATCATCTTGCAAGAAGCCATTCATGAAGCGTACCAAAAGGGTTTCCTCGGCAAGAACGCGTGCAACTCAGGCTACGACTTTGACGTGTACCTCCATCGCGGCGCTGGCGCGTACATTTGCGGCGAAGAAACCGGCTTGTTGGAAAGCTTGGAAGGCCGCCAGGGCAAGCCTCGCCTGAAGCCGCCCTTCCCGGCCAACACGGGGCTGTACGGGTGCCCGACGACCGTGACGAATGTGGAAACAGTTGCGGTCGCGCCGACGATTCTCCGCCGCGGGGGCTCGTGGTTTGCCGGTCTTGGCCGCAAAAACAACGCCGGCACCAAGTTGTTTTGTATTTCGGGGCATGTCAACAACCCGTGCACGGTCGAAGAAGAGATGAGCATCCCCCTTCGCGACCTGATCGAAAAGCACTGCGGTGGCGTGCGCGGCGGCTGGAGCAACCTCCAGGCGTGCATCCCCGGCGGGTCCTCGGTGCCCGTGATGGACGAAGCCACGTGCCAGAACATCCACATGGATTTTGACGACTTGAAGAACACGGGCGGGTCCGGCTTGGGCACGGCCGCGGTCACGATCTTTGACAAGTCGGTCGATATGGTCGGCGCCATCCGTCGGCTGTCGCACTTCTACACGCATGAAAGCTGCGGCCAATGTACCCCTTGCCGCGAAGGAACGGGGTGGATGGAGAGCATCTTGACGCGCATGGAGACGGGCAATGCCGAGTTGGAAGAGATCCCCATGTTGGAGGAAATCTCGCGGCAGATTGAAGGCCATACGATTTGCGCGCTCGGGGACGCCGCCGCGTGGCCTGTCCAGGGGTTGATCAAACGTTTCAAGCACAAGCTGGTCGAACGCATTGAAAACCCCGCTAGTTTCAACAAGGCCGACTACTTCCAAAAGGCTTGGCCCGGTGCCAAGTTCCAAAACCAGGACTGGGTCAACAAGTACGCTGACGGATCGGCCTACGCCAAGCATTAACGACTTGAGATGGATGATACATATCCGAACATGATCTTGCCCGATAATGCATAATACAACACGGCAATGTGGATGATGATGGTGATGGGTTTGTGTTTTATTCTTGGAGAGATACTAAATAACGTAAATGATCAATTGTTGATACATTTAAGAGAGGTGCTTCAGCAGTACCTCCTCGACACAAATCCAATTTTGCCTCTGAAACTTGATGCTTGGACGCTGAAACGCAGAAAGTATCAAGTTTTGCGGTAATCTACACGGCCAAATATTCATTTTCCAAGCAAAGTTACGCTTATTTCGATCATCAATTTATGATACACAATTTAAACTTAATCTATGTATAATCAAATGCTTCGAAAGTGTGTGTTTAGGGTTTCTGCTTCCTGATTGGCTGCTTTGTGTAAATCATAAATTCATCAGTGCATCATAAATTGATCATTTACGTTAACTGTAAGTAAGTAAGCGGCCTCTGGGGTATTTGCCTTGCCGACCACACCTATGTCCGCACCAATTCCATTGCCATTGCCGCTGTGGCAGCCATTCCACGCTGACGACGAGGCGAAAAGTTCCGATGATTTCGCACGCCAATCGATGGAAAATGAACCCGACATTGAGCCTGGACATGCGGGCGACCCAGCAGGAAGCAGAAGATCGCATGGCAAGGCCAACATGACAAAGCGAAAAAGTCCAGAAACGGTCGAGGAAGAAGTAGACTCTGCTAAAGCAGTATCGTGGAAACGACTGCGATCAATGCAACTCCTCATCGACGCAACCCAAGCAGTCACACCAAATGAAGCAGCTACACTTGGAAATGCAAGCCCATCTAAACGTCCAGTATATTTACAGACCCCCACTACGAACACCACCACCATCACAGCGGCGCTGCCTGCCAAGGCTCGATCACAAATCACGCAGTCGAATTATGTGCTAACGCCGCCAGCAATCCCAACCTTGGTGGCAGCAGAATCTACTGGCTCCAGTATCCTCACCAAATGGAAAGGTACAGCTCGGGCAGGCATTGTTGACCCAGTTTCCAGCGTAGTTCCCACCGTCGTGTCTGCTATATTGAGCAGTGGTAAAGCGCTAGCCCCTTCCCCCCAAGCCGCCCCTCCAAGAGGCACGCCCTTGACCACCTCTGCAGACGATGACCAGTCGACAAAGTCTGCGGCGATCGTGTTCAAGAAGTGTCCGACCAGGATCGCCAAGTTGCTCGATAAGATCCGAGCCACCAAGCCTTGGCTCCAGTACACGCGCGTGGCGTCGTTTCTCCCTGAAGTGGCGCACGTCGACACCACCCTCGACGCCGCGGTGCGCAACTTTAACGCAGCCCTTCGCCATTTCTGGGCGATAAGCGCTGTGTTGCTATGGGAGTCTCGGTTTTCCTGGCACACGGCTCGCTCGGCGATTCGAGAATTGGAGGACAACGTCGTGCTGTTGGTGGGCCAGTTGCAAGTTTTGATTGACTTCTTCGACGGGGATAACGCGCTGGTCGAGTTTCTCAGTGGGGCCCCCCACCCAGCGTGGCCAGTCATGACATCCGAGCCCCCCCGTCACTGCAACAAATATACGCCATGTATGGGGACGCCGCCGTGGTCAAGTTTTTACGAACCCAAAGCCACCGGTTGTGGCCAGTGTACCCCCCCTCCTTTATTCAACCACCACCGAGACCGACCAGCATTAAGGTACCCAACCTGACGTGGCCACTCGGCGAAACGTTTGCGTTCGTGGCCGCGCGACTGTTGACGCCGACGCTGCTCGAAAAGCTGGTGGATATGGGCGTCGTAAACCCGACGCAAGCATTTCGCCACATGAGCAACGTGTCCCAGCGGTTTATCCAACGAGGATGCCCGCCCCCTCAAGAGCCATACCCGTTCGTGTCGGTGGTGGTCGCAGACGATCCGATGGGACCGCAGTGGTCCCATGGACTTGACCCGCCACCGACAAGTTATAAGGCGCACGTTCCAACACTCCGACCGACGACTCCATCATTTTTGGTGATACAGTAGATACAGTAGAATGCCGCCTCGACTGGAAACGTAATAGCACACGAAACATTTGATGCAATATGGTGCATGGACTACAACATCATGCGATGACTCGCATTCAGGAACAAAATAGGAGATGGATGGTTGCCTGCGACGAGCTTCGTACTAAAGCAGAATGTATGTACGGGTTCGTTGTGGAGTGTCCACTTAAATGATAAGTATACTGATTTGTGTAACATGCAACGAGGAGAAATTATTTATTCTTACTAGATACATAGCGACTGGGATCAATGCAACTCCTCATCGACGCAACCCAAGCAGTCACACCAAATGAAGCAGCTACACTTGGAAACGCAAGCCCATAAACGTCCAGTATATTTACAGACCCCCACTACGAACACCACCACCACCACCACGACGGCGCTTCCTGCCAAGGCTCCATCACAAACCACGCAGTCGACTCCTGGTACTACTCGTCCGTCCGGTAGCCTCCCCGATTCAACGCCGCCAGCAACCCCAACCATGACAACTGGGGATGCGTCCATTGTGAACTCCAGCCCCATCGATATGAAAGCTCAGCCAGACAATGTGCTCTCTGTGGGTGTTTCGAGTGTTGGTTCAGAAGTCCCCGCCGCTACGCCAGTGGAGCGCACCCCTCGACAAACAGCAACCAAAGATGTAGCTCCAAGTGCCAGTTCCCCTTTGAGTGCCTCTGTTCTAACCCGTGGGAACATCGAGACGATGTCCCTTTCCACTGCGACTATAATCACCAAAACATGTCCTCTCAAAATATCCGAGCCACGAAACCTTGGCTCCAGTACACGACTGTATGTTCGTTTCTACATGAAAAGACCCATGTAGAGACCCCCCACGAAGTCGCGGTGCGCGACTTCAACGAAGCGCTGCGCCATTTCTGGGCGACAAGCGCCGAGATGCTCTGGGAGTGTCGGTTTTGCTGGCAGACGACTCGCCCTACCATGCGGCTGTTGGAGGAAAACGTCGTGCTGTTGGTGGGCCGGTTGCATCTTTTGATTGACCTGTTCGACAAGGATGATGCGTTGATTCAGTTTCTCAGTGGGACCCCCCACCCGACGTGGCCAGTCATGATTGCCAAGTTCCCCCTGTCACTGAAACACATATACGCCATGCACGGGGACGCAACTGTGGTCGACTTTTCACGAACCCAACGCCACCGGTTGTGGCCGGTGTACCCCCCCATTCGGCATCAGGGCCGGTGGTTATCCTATAGACTCAACAGCCTGGACGACGACGTCGAGCTGACATGGCCGCTGAGTGAAACGTTTGTGTACGTGGCTAGCCGACGACTCACGCCGCGGCTGCTCGCAAAACTGGCGGACATGGAAATCCCCAACCCCATTCGAGTGATTCGGCGCATGGCCAGGGTGGCCCGGCGGTTCTTCGAAAAGGGGTGCCCGCCCCCCGACGAGCCGTACCCGTTCGTGTCGGTAGTGGTCGCAGACGACCTCGTGGGGCCGCAGTGGTCCCATGGACTCGACCCACCACCAACAACGTATACGTCGCATGTTCGAACGCTCCGACCAACTAAATCATGTCTCGTTTAGCATAGATGCAACCAATATACTAGTATGTGTACTAGCACTAAACGACGATCAAAATATAACTAGTAACAGTTACTGGCGGCGTGGGACGGTCTAGTCGACGATGTAGTAGCAGCAGGGACAATATACTGGTGGGAACAAGTGATGATGATTGATAGTGACGGACCGATGAAGTTGGTTCTGAGTTTTACGCTCTGAGGTCTATCTATAAAAGTACGAAGTTCAGTAGTACTTTCGTTTCGAGCAAAATTTGGTGTCCCGATGTTGATTTAGCGACAATATTAACATTGATGACGTGTTTAAGCTGAAGTTACTTAACGTTAGGGGAAGTTCCAAGTAGTTTGTAGGAATAGCATGATGAAAATCGATTTACCTTATTTTTTCACGATTTAGAAAAAGACGTCAAGGACCTCGTTTTCTATTTTTGGTACAGTTAATACTCCGGAGTAACGTTACTATAACAAATTTTGTTAATAGTACCGGGTATTGTATATCCGGAGCGAAAACAAAAAAATGAAGTGTCTGAAGGATGTTTATACGGATTCGGATACAACTGTTTTAATGAGGGAATTATTCGGTTTCCAGACCCCGTCGAATTGAATCTCGCCGCCGAATCGAATCACGAATCGACTCTGTTGGCTAATCCAATTTTGCGTGGATTTGCTTGGCTCTTACAGAAAGGACAAGTATATTCAACCAATCAGAACTCCAGCGAAATTCAATATTGATTAGACAAACCGCGCGAATTTTGGAAGTTTATAGCGAATTCAAACAATAATGCATGCTGTGTGTACTAGTAATAGTTTGGCACACGTCGTCATGTTTGTGGTGGAAAAATACAATGGTATCCAATCGTTCGTCCTTTCAATTGGCTAAATATGCCTCTAACAGCGTCATCATTGGATAAAATTATGAATTTCTATTCCTGCGTTCGTGCCTTTTATCCAATGGCCAGTACTTGTATGGACTATGACATGTCAGACATGTCGGACGTAATGTCTGCGACGTGGTTGTGGTGGTGACGCACACACATGCCTTGGCGCTGGGACCACTTTGTGCATCCAACCACGGAACACCGCAGCCCCCCTCCGTGGCCCCGGCAAAAGCCGTTCGAAATGGAACCTTTCGTGCAGTCTGGCGCTTTGCACCGATCTCCGCCGCCATGAGTCTTGCATTTGCCTCGGGACTGCACAGACTTGAGGCAACCGGGGACGTCGCACGGCTTAACGCCGCCGTGGGTGGTGCATTTGCCTCCATACTGGACCACACGGCCGCACTGCGGGGTATCGCAGTACTGCCGGCCACCATGCTGTGTGCACACCCCCCGACAGCGAGAAAACTTGACACAGCCTGGGAAATTACACAGTTTGCGCCCCGTCGTCGGGTCCCGAAGGGAAGAATGCATGACGGAGAGTACATGAGAAGGTATAAGCGGGATGGAACCGTCGACCGCACTTTTCTCGCCATCGTCATCACCCGTAGAGAAATCATGCGATGACGTGAATGGCTTGTGGACCTTGTGATGGGATAGAAGTGAGTTAGTCGGAGAGAGCCCGGACGCACTTGAGGGAGCTGCTTTGGTGTGTGTCATGTGTACGACGAGGGATGATGTAGCCGCGGGGACTGCTCGAACGACGCAGCTAGCACCAAAACAGCCTGGCCGAGCTGAGCCGTTTCGATCGGTGGTGCTCACGGACCTGGCAATGGAAGCATCCCCACCAGTGGCCATGGCTGGGGTTGCCGGCAGCATGGAAACTTGGGGGCCAGCGAATGGCGTGGGGAGGGAGGTAGTAGTGCCAGCAGATGCTGCTGACGTCGTGGTGTTCACAGCCTTAGTCGCATTATTTGCTTGAGATTGGGAGGAGGTTGCTAGTCCATGTGTAGCCACCTTGTCTCGTGTGATGGGTTGACGGGCTGTGGCCGCCTCGAGGAGTAAATCCATGGACCCGAGTCGCCTCTCCGGAACAACTGCCGCCTGGGTCTTGACTTCGTCGTGGACCGTAGGCGGACTTTTGCGTTCGCTCATGTGAACCATTCCATTCGACTTTTTCCTTTCTGCTGAAGGGTCTGCTGGCGCGTCGCACTTGCCAGGCTCGGGGTGCGGCGAAGCATTTCCTAATAGTTGGGGGGTGGGGCCATCAAGATTGTCGGGAGGCTCCCCGTCATCGACCGTGCGATTTGACTGCCCCGACGGCAACGAAGCTGGAGCAGACACCACTGGTGGAATGGGCAATATATACACCCCGGACGACGCCTTGAACTCGTCCAACAGTCGCTTGCACTCGTTTGCATCGTTTGGATCGAGGCTGCTACTAGCGTCCCGGCCACACTCGTAGCCCCATGCTTGAGCCAAGAGGGATGCCTGGTCGGGGCCAACGACACTAACGTGGCACGCGAGCCAATTCCAAAACCGGTGGACACTGGCGTCGCGATCGTGCTTCGCCTGCAAGTACTTGTCAGACAAGCTGCGGTAGGCGCTTTCCAGCTTGGACGCCTTCTCTTCCGCACGTTGCACCCGCGCCTCCATCGTGCGCATGACTTGTGCGTCGTTGTCGCTCGATTTGGCTGCCTCCTCGTCGAGTCGTGGCCTGCCGGCGGTGGCCTCCTTATCGTTCGATTGGGCTACCTCCTCGTCGAGTCGTGGCCTGCCTGCGGTGGCCTCCTCATCGAGTCGTGGCCTGCCGGCGGTGGCCTCCTGGTCTTGGCTCGGCTGTTGTGGATGTGAACTGGCAGAGCGAAGCTTGGTCAGCGTCACAGACACAGCGCTTGTCAACTTGGAAGCTTCCTCCAGCAGCGCATGTGCCTGCGCGGACAAGTCGCTGACCGCGTCGATGGCGGCGTCGTCGCACATGATAGTGGTTTGGAAGAACGAGTGATTCCCCAAATCTTATTTTGAACTTCATTAATACTACTCGCAAAAAAACGTTAATATTAATGCGAATCCCAAATTGCCATACATTAGTCAAGTCCGTGGAGTAGAAATTTCGTTGAAATTGAGTAAACGAGTCAAATCTGTACTAGTAGCAAGTCATAACGGGCGAAAACGTTCCTGGAAACGAAGATACAAACAGTCGCACCAGCGCAACTCGACGAGAACTTAAACTTGGAGCGTTGACGGTGCTGCTGCTCTGAACAAGACAGTCAGAACTGTACAACATGCAATGGCGGAGTATATTAGGCAGAAAATGAAACATCATTGGAAAGCACTTCGAAGTAGAAGACACAGCATCGATGAACGTAGATAATGCGAGGATCTCCTGCTATTGCGCTCACTACAACTTGAATGCGCTCTGGAGCGCACTTGAGACGATGAACCAGCGTTCAAATTTTGAAGCCACACAGAGTGCTTAAGTTTGGAAGGAGGTACAGTGTCGGTGGCTCACCCCGAGCACAAACGTAACCGGGTTGATCATGCAGTGTTAGTGCAGCCACAGCGGTGGCAATCAACACTACGACATCACTGTAGTAACGTAAAAAACCAGTTTAAGTTCACCAGTATTTTTGTATACTATATACAGTACAGGTCTTGTAGTAGTTACATTACTATTTCTGTAGTAGATCATATGATGCTTCGTCGTGCATGCAGCTTTTGACAACACTTTATAAAATGATACATACTTCATTTCATATAATAATAATGGGCACATCTTTTTCTGATTTGTGATACAGTACGTAAAGTTAACTGTTTATTCGACATGTGCCGTTCCACTGCTATTTTGACCCGAAATACTGTTTCAATGGGGGAATTATCACATCCGGATACGCCTTTTCGCCCGTTGCCCTGTAACCTGGGACTCCGTCCTACCACTGGTTAGTACTGTACATACGATGCTAAATCTCCCGGGTTAACTGCATCGCTAGTGGTTAGCTATCGCTAACCACTGAAATGCACTAAACCCCTAGTACAGTGAGTGTGAGGTGAGGTGGTCCGAGTTTACAAAGTTCCATATAAACACTCATATTACTGCATTTTCTGAGAAAAACAACAGTGGAACTGTTTTAAAGAGGGAATTGTACCTGGAAATACCTCAAACTCCAAATATTTCAAAATGCACCGAGTTGGTTTCTCAAAAAAAGACGCTTGGAGAGGTTAAAGTGCGACGTAGGATAGCTTACGTAGTAAGTACATACACATATATACTAGTACAGTCAAATTACTCCGAGTACACTAGTATAGTCACCAGTTTTTGTTTCCACCCAACAAGCTCATCTAACTACCGGTAGGTAGTTACCGTAACTAACTTATCGTTCGTACGAATCGAGCACACATTGTTGTACTCATGACACTGTATCCTAGGCTTCTCGAAGTATATACTGCACCATTGGATCGCTTGTGTTGAATATGTAGTTCTAGTGGGGCGATGCTACCCGTTGGTATGCCGCGTGGCCCCGTGGGGATTCCTTGATCGACGCGTCAACACGAATCGACACAGTTCCATTGGGTGGTTGGCACATCGCGACCACATCGGCGACCAAAATACGCCCGCGGCTGCAATGGCATTCCATGTAGAGCAGCGTGTTGAGCTCATGACGAGTGAGCGACGCGCCCCATGACACCGCCAAGGCGTGAATGGTGTGCATGTCGACATACCCGTCCGAATTGTCAGCCATGAAGCGGCAAGATCGTCAACCTGCATATTGGTTTGGTGGATATCTTGATGCAGCTGATGCTTGAGCTTAGCGACATATACAAAGTGGTCAATCGTTTTGGCCAAGACGCGGCCGTCGATCTTCCACACGCCCAACACAATCGCAAAGTTGGAAATCAAGTTTAGGGCCACCACGACCATGTTGAGCCCGATGGGCACACAGCACGCTGCCACGTACACCCCGTTGTTCGTAGAATCGATCGACGGTATCACAGACGTGCACAAGATGGCGCAAAAGAGGCCGTTGACCAGTAAAAACAACGTCGTCAAGAACTGCGCTCGGGGAAGCGAAAACCCCGGCAAGTAAAACATGTCTCCTGGGACCCGAGCCTCCAGCGCGTTCGGATGGGCAGGCGGTTTGTGACAGAGCATCGCGTAGAGTCGATAGAGCAGCTCGGCGCCAAAGATCTGGCGGTGCTTGGAGGGCTCTCGGCTGCGCACGATGTCTCTTACCACCCGCATCTGGCGAATCTGTGCGTCGACAAACAGTTGCAAATGCTGTGGTTCGTTGACTTCGTCGTCGCGGCTCTGCAGGGGGGTGATGTCGCCGAGGCTGTTTTGGTGGATGGCGAGGAATTGACCAGCCCGCCGCAAGAGAAACAACCGGGCACGGTGCAGGGCCAGCATGAGCAGCAACATGCAGCAGAGGAGGGACCCCGCGAGGATGCCCATGACAAGCACGCGGGTGTCTTGCCTCGTGGCCACCGCGGACGAGCTGCTGCCGTCCACCACGCGGTACGGCGCATGGGACGTTTGCATCTCCCCCGTGCAGGTAAAAAATACAAGGAACAACCCGACGAGAATGATCCAGTGCGAGATGCGCAGGTCCACCAGCTGCACGACTTGGTCTTCCTGGATCTCCAATATGTACTTTGGGAACGAAAACAGCGGTGGAAGCTCGTACACTTTGACAAACAATGCCTCGAGCAACTTGAGCTGCATACCACGACGGGCTTTTGGAAGAAGCAGCCACGACAACGGCCGCGAGACTCACCAGCTCCGACATGGAGTACAAGTCCACCAAATCGGTCAGGTCGTTCGTGTATGTCAGGACCACGAAGATGACGAGTGCTTGCAGCACGAGGAAGATCACGACGAGGAATACCAGGATGTCCGCCGCATCGATCGCGTGGTAATGGAGGGAGCTGAGCCCCCCCACGTACAACACAAACTTGACCAGCAAGTAAATGAGGCCCACGACCATGAGTTCTACAGGGGTATATGTCAATAAATGGTGCGAACGACGTACGGTATGTGTGTTACCGCCGATGGTTTTGACGAGCATCTCCTTGTACTTCTTGTTGCGTTTCGCTAGGTGCAAAAAGTGCTCGACGATTCGCTCCATGATGGCCACGAAGACCACCACCACGATGATGCACCCCGCCACGAGTTGGATGGACACCACTTCGTCTCCACCAGAGGCCTCCGCTTCGCCTGCCATGCTAATCACTCGAATCCGTTGGTTACGCGTATGTGCAATGATCTCAAATGCTGCCAGCCACCCACCACGTTGACTCAGTTTTCTGAACGCAATACTGCTGACACGTGAGCAGGCCAGCAAATCTCCAGCATTAGTATGACGTGAATTCGCTAATATCCAGAGATCCTCGTCTTTATGCCACGAGTTCACCCACAGCTCATCCTACGATAAACGACCCGCGTTCGTACAAATCCTCTTAAGTTTTGTACTACTTAAGTAGTAACGTACTGTACTATAACGAGCTAACCGTAACAAGCCTCCAGCCGCGACAGCATTTCTACTACTAAGTAGTACTACGTAGTACTACATCTTATTTGTAGTCGTAGTACTGTATAACTTGTTTCTACCGTTTCGACATATGTGCTTTATATTAGATGACATGCAAAATATACTAATTTACTATAAACGAATGCGAGATGGAAATCACCGCTGTACACGCACGACCCTGAAAAATATTTTTCCAATCTAGAAAGGTCATTCATTCCAAAGATGGAAATATTAAAAGTCGCGTGTTCGTTTTACAGTTCTCAAATACTTCTATTTATCCGTGAAATTGCTCTACGCTAGCAAAACTAACACCACGTCCCCATACAACACGACGTCTCCACCTAAATACAAGTTGTTTGTCCGTTTTATCTTATTCCCCAACCTACTACGGCCTTCCCTTTTTCATTCGATCTCGCAATGTTGTGCGAAAGTCGTCCATACGGTCACTAAAAAACTGCAGCTGGTCAAAGTACCGCTGCTGGCCTTGGCGCGCCTTGAGCGCCCGTTCGCGCGGCGTCATGGCCAGGATCTTGTCCATCGCAGCGCAAATGTCTGCCGGCGTCACGTCGAACTCGGTGTCGTCGTTCCCCATCAGCACCTTGCCCCATGTCGGCCGAGCCACGGCGTTCTCAATCAGCACGCCGCTGGCGTCGTCCACGAACTCGTTCATGGGAGCGGCATCTGTTGTCACTAGCAGCGCCCCGGCGGCGCGAGCTTGGTTGATGTAGTGGCCAAATCTAACGTCCATCCATTGTTGGCAAAACAGATATTGTCGATATATTCGAAATTGGAGTGGATGGGGGGGCTCAATCGAATGAGCAGAATCACCAAACCGGCAGACAATCGATATATCGACCAATCAAAACACAGAGCACTAATCAAGTGGCCAATCAAATCTACTCTTCGACGAATTCAACATGGAATTAGTGTGTGTGATACTAGACGATCTTTACAAAAGTCATAAGAAAGGATCGATCACTAGATTTGGCGAATCAGCACAAAAGTAGTCCAAATTTTGGGTAAAAGGTCAATATTGTTGTCTTGATTCAAAACACAACACAATTGAGCCCATCATGGACAGCCTCGACATGGAATTGGTGATGTGGTCAAATTTTGACATACAACATTCACAGTACGAACAAATCGATCGATGGAATATAAGCACATAAATCCAAAGACAGTTTGAGTGAGAAATGAACCAGCACGTTATTCAAATTGATCCGTAGATATAGACCCAACCATATGTTTGGCTGCAAAAAAGAAGTCCATATATTGCGAATAATCGACGCTAGTATGGCCAATATCCAAATTTTGAGTGGATTTGATTGGCTCTTACAGAGAGGACAAGTATAGTCTGCCAATCCGAACTTCCAGCGTGATTCAATATTGATTAGACAAACCACGCGAATTTCGGAAGTTTATAGCGAATAAATCACAATATATAAGAGAGATACACATACCCTTCCATGATGCTGGGACACAAGATCACGGACGCCTCGGCCATAAGTTTGCCAAACTTGGCCGGTTCAATGAACTCGCCGTTGTGGTACTGGAGGTTCCCTGGCTTTTTGTCTCGAAAGTGGTTCCAGTATGTGTCGTTGGATGGCCCGTCGTTCGAGTACACGTGCAGCAGCGGCATGTCTGGGCGGTCGTGCCAGCAGTCGAGGATCTTGGGCGTGTTCTTCTGGGTGCTGCGGCCGTTCGCGTGGAACACTGTGAGTTTGTCCCAGTCTTTCGCGGCAATGGCGCCAAAGTTGGGGTCCATCTTGGCTTTCAAAGCCGCCGTGGCGGTGGGGTCGCTCGTTGTGTGCTGGGCGTACACGACGTGGGTATGGCGAGGGTTGTGGCCACGTTTCTTGTACCTACTCGCGACATTGGTTACTAGTAGTAGTACTAGTCCTACTTACCACTCGGTGATACGGCGATACCCGTCCTCGGTCTTGGCAATCACATAGTCGGCGCGCTGGTAATGGATCGGCTTGAGTTCGTACATTTCCACGTTCGGCATCAACACGATCTTCTTTTGCGGCGGAAACGTGCTCATTTGATCGAGGCCGTCCCAGTAATGGTTCATGAACATCACGGCAGAGTTCGGGCACAGGTCAAAGTACGTCGACACCTTGCCTGTGCCAAGCAAGTCACATGATATCGTTGTCCATGGAAGGACACGTACCGTTGTGATCGTGGAACTCCATGCCAAACACCCACATGGGCAGCGCGCGCGTGTGCAAAAACTTGACGTACGCCATCGCGTCTTCGCAGTACCCGTGCGACCGGATGCCCACGGGCAAGAACACGTCGACCTCGGGGCATTGGCTCAGTTCCGCCAGCAGCACGTCCGGATCCATGTCCTGCTTGAGGATGCGCACTTGGTGCTTCGGTTTCCACGCGATGACCGTGTCCCCCTTAGTTAAACACAACGCATTGAACTGGTTCAGATGGAGGAGGTCCGGCTCCCAGTGCGCGTTGCTCACGCGGAAACTCTGGGTGGGCGCTCCACCTTGCGTCGATGCGAAGGCCACATATGCCTGAAAGGTCACAAGGATGCCGACGCATCCGAAGAGGATGTAGCGCAGGCTGAACCACGACTGGTGTTGCTGTCGCCGGCCCTTGGCACTGCTGGGGGAGGGTGGCGACATGAAAAGTGGTGGGTGGGGACTTGGTCAATTATACCGTCACACGACGCTAATAAACGGGACGCCCCCGCGAACTTGAAGTGCAGTCGAAAACCATATGGAGAATCTTGGCGTACTTAAACGAACCCATGAAGGAGCGATCATTACAAATACCAAGTACACAGTACTTTGTCGTAGAACTGACCTCGTCCAGGTACAGTATAGCGGTACGGTCTACATCCTATACATATACCTACCGCTTTTCCCGACAAGAGGAATCGATAGGACATTCAGGGAAGTCTATGATTGGGGCTAACTCACTGTTGATTTCATATGTTTTGGTTGACCGATCAATTTCAGAACAGCCAATCAGCCCGATTATGTACGAATCGTACTTGTATGGAAAATTCCTGTCCTTCAAGTTCCAGGACTCGAAGGAATTACCCGAATAAACTGTTCGAAATAATGCAATAAGTAGATTATTTTGAACGAAACTTGACAATGTTATTGCGACCCGGTGCATCTTACTTGGTGCATGAAGGTGACGTCCGTCGGCAGGTGTGCAGCCAAGGGCTTCTGTACCCAACTGCTTGCGGGGGAAGATACAAATTCATAGCTTGACTCCATGAGCCAACCCATCTAACCATACGCTCAGTGTCTCAGTACTAACGTTGTCGCACAACGCAATGCTCCATTACAGGTTAGACTCTACGAGTCTTACTTAACGTAGCCCAGCGGTACTTTCTCCCCATGAATACTACTACGTACTTCCAAGTACTGTATATTATCATGTTTACCATAGGAGTACGACGCTTTCGGTAATTAGTTAAAGATGAATCGTGCTATTCATGTTTTAACTGTAAAACATACAGTTTTAACTGTAAAACATACAGTTTTAACTGTAAAACATACAGTTTTAACTATAAAACATACAGTTTTAACTATAAAACATACAGTTTTAACTGTAAAACACCGAAGCATACATATTATTAATATTAACTGTAACATACAAGTATGAATTTTATATCATGAGCATGGTACGAATTCTTTATTATTATGTTAGCTCCTTGATGAGTGAGCAGAATAATCAAACCAAGACAGCCAGTTAGCTATTTCCACTACCGGTTCAACCGTGCAGCGGCATGCTGCTCCAACAATTCCTTGGCGCGTTCCATGAGCATGATATGTTCGTGTTTGGAATCATCCCCTGCACCACTCATCTCTGTGTCCAACTTGGCTTCCACTTCGGCCTACCCCATTCATTCATGACACACTCACAGTCAATATATATATATATATATACATCATCAATCAATACTATACATACTCATCAGAGTTTTATATTCTAAACTGGAGCGACGACGACGTCGAAGACACACTTGGAGAATATTTGAATCGACCCAACCAAATATAAAGTACACAAGAATTGGCAAAAGAATATTGAGCCAATCAGATTGCAGGAAACAACCATTATCAACGTCAAATTCGTGTGTGACTTCAATTCGTGTGAGCCCAATCATCACAGGAGGACCCGTTTTTCCATACAAAATATTAGTACAAAGAATATATATCGATCGATTTGGGTATTCAAAAGTTGTCCAAAGTGTGGGTAAAAGGACAAGATAAAGAATATCCAATGACCACTTTCATCAGCCTACATTACCGGGATAGCTTTGGTCGCCATAGCTTCCAAATCAGACAGCTTGGAGCGCAGCTGCTGCAGTTTCCTCGTCGTGTCCGATGCCTGTTTTGCATATTTTGGTGGGGGGGTGGGGGTCATACCTTGGACAACCACTGGGGGGTCCTCCCCCCCTTGTCCTAGTAGCGACTCCCCCGCCGTGGACGTCGCGCCGCTCGAGGCTGCCACGTCACCACCACCGCCTTCGTCGTCGTCGGAAGTACCCAATAACTCGTCCAAATCCCGTTCTAATTCCGACAACGGCCGTTGTTGGAGGCTGTCGTCGCTCAAGTCGGAAAACTCGGCGCGCAAGTCATGCTCCAACTGACTCAACCGCGGCGGCGTGATGTGGCGGGGGGACGTCGACAGAGCATCGCCCCCTCCTCCTTCTTCTTCGCTGCTAATGTCATCCAATGCTCGCTGCAGCAACTCGTGGTCGCTCCACTTGAGCGACGACGCGCGGCTACTTCCGAGGTTAGATGGACGCCGCCGCCGCCGACTTGGAGGTGATGACAGCTTGTTGGTATCAAGTGGGTTGGCCACGTTGTCTGATCTTTGAACAACTACTGGTTCCAATGGTTTTGGCGTTACTAAAGTGGTTGCAGACATAGATGGCGACATGTCTGCCGTAGGTTGCGAGGGCGATGCCGGTGGTGGTGGCATGGGTCGTTGTTGATTCGGCAAACGGATGGTGGCGGGGGTTCCATCTTGTTGCTCGTCTTCCTTGGACTCGTCGGACGCGGTTCCATCGCTGTCTTCTTGTGGAGGCCGTCGCTGCCGCCGCATCGCCCGATCTTGTGCGAGCAGTTGCATCTGCCGCTGCTTTTGCATGCGCTGTTCGTTCAACTTGGTGCGCCATTCGTGTCGTAACTTGGCCTCTTCACGGCGCACTTGCTTTGCTGCCTTCTTCTCCTGCCGATCCACTTCGGCTGCTATCGCCTGCTTGTCTTCAGCTTTCCACCCGTCAAACACCTACCCACAAACGTAAAGCACACATATCCAGCACAACATTTGCCTTTTTTTGCCTTTTTTGCCTTTTTTTGCATTTTTGAAATATATAGAATAATTCACGACCCATATCCAAGCGCAGAGATTGATTCATAGCTTGAATTCGAGCCAAATCTTTGAAAGAAAAGGTATTTGATTCCCCACATGCACGGTTTTGCATATTTTAAGCAACAAATAGAGGAGTAGTAGTACTAGTAGTAGTAGTAGGTAGTAAGTAGGTAGTACATCCATCAATACTACTCGATTACAAACTGCTGCTTGATCCAAGTCTCTTTTAGCTCAATCCATCCATGAAAACCTCTCCAAGTTTGCGACTCTTGGCATGCTTTGGTGTAAACATATATCTTGAAAGTCGATATAGTCGATATTGGAGTAGGGTGGTTGGTGCTCAATCGAATGACCAGATTAACCAAATATCGGCAGACAATCGATACATTGACCAATCCAAACCCAGATCACGAATCAAGTAGCCAATCAAATGATCCACTTTTCGACCAATAATGCAACATCGAATTCGTGTGTGACTTCAATATCATTTTGAATATTTAAATTTTAAAATTAAAATCTATAATTAATATATTTTCTTTTCGAACTGACACAACATAATAATCCAAACGGAATATATATTTTAAAATAATATTAGTCAAATCTAAGACACACGATAAATAAGTTGAGGGGAACTATAACAAAAATATAGTGTGACACATTGGACGATCGTTACATCCAAAAGTCACAGTTTACCAAGAATCAATCGATAGAGTTGGCGAAATATCAGCACACACAAAGGTCAACAACTTTTGAATTAAACGACAATACAAGATCAATATATATATATACCATTTGATCGCAGAGTTCTTGCTCTCTCAACTGCGCAAAGAACTCGAGCCGCATCGTCTGCAGCCGCTCTTCCCTCTCTCGATCCTTGGTGAGGTCGGCTACGCGGCGCTGGGCATCCATCTCCAAGCGGGTCAGCTCTTCTTCGTCCATTTGGTGCTGGCTTTGCCACTTTTCCTTGTCCGAGCGCACGTTGAGTTCGTCCAGCCATCGATCGTGTTCAGCTTGGAGCACTTTTGACGTTTCCCGCAGCGCTTCCTTGGCGTTTTGCTCCATCAAAGCAATCTACAAACCATCTCAATCTCTCTCCACACTAACTGCCGAGTTTCAATCTTATGATATATTAAACGTGCATAGAACAGAATGATACTACGCAGTACACTAAAAATGCCATTATTTCTCAATACATCCATGGTATTACTGGTTCAATATATAGGAATCTGTTATGTTTTTTCAAACCAATAAAAAAAAAATATAAAATAGATTGTACATATATACATGGTTCCCATTGCATAACATTGCAACAGCAAATACGGTAGGTACACAGGCTGGTTTTGGTGTACTTGTTGGAGGCGGCGGTCCCTTGTCTGCGCGTGCAAGATGGTCATCTCCATGAGCCGCGCCTTCTCTGCCTGCATGGCCTCCACCCGCCGCCGCTGCTCCGACTCCAACAGAAGCGCCTTGTCCTGCATCCACTGGGTGTGCGCGGCCTCGAGCTCCCGTGTCCGCGCCTCAATCTCACTCAGCAGCCGACGCTTCGACTCCAACGCGGCTTCGTCCGTGGCAATGCGATTCCGTTCCTATACATGAATCATCGTCAGCACACATCGAAAAATCACATGACGATTCATTCAGAATGTAAAATAAAATAAATAAAACAAAAATATGCCAGGGCAATAGAGCATCCAGTGCTCGTTTGATTTTGATCAGAATACCAAATTAAAAAGAATGAAACCAAAAAATTGAAATTCATCCTGTAGTTAGAAACAAAATTAGCATGTCAAACTTTTTCAACGATGTTGAAGGTCTTCAAACATAATATATGGCAATTTATCGTGGATTCGGTACAAATGTCCACACCCTCTGTCGAATCGAATCGACGCTAGTATTGGCTAATCCAATTTCGAGTGGATATATATATATATATTTGATTGGCTCTTAAGGACACGTATATTCAATCAATCCGAAAAACTCCAGCGTGATTTAATATTGATGAGATAAACTCATGCGAATTTTAAACGTTCATAGCGAATTCAAACAATATATCATATTAATCATTCTTCCAAAGGATCATTAAAAAAACATCTTGAAGTGACATAGAATTCAGAAATTAATCATATATTATAGGATTATAAAAAATCATCCCTCTATCACAGCCCTAGGGCATGGTGCACACTCGACAGGAAAATCAACACAAAAATATACACAGCCCATACAAATATACACTGCCATAGTGACCCCCATATAAACAACCGCATGAATTACAGATCGTACTTGAATTTGGTAGTCGACGACAAACGTGGGGTACCGCGTGAACGCAGGGTACTGGCCAGGGGGCAGCGGAAAGTACTTTTCGTCGTCTTGGGTCTGGTCGATGATGTCGGGTAGGGTGATTGCGTGCATGGTGGCTATCCAGCGCTTGACTTGCATCGGTTGCTGCTGGTGAAACGCAGCTTGAATGCCCGATGCTGTCGACTGTTGAAGCAAATTCGCGCGATTTTCAGTCAGATACGCCAGTACGGCGGCCCATAGTAACGACGGATGGTCCCAATATGCAATCAAGTTGTCCCATAAGCACAGCCAGTCGTCTCGCGCCAGCACTTCGCTGAATGCCGTCGACACCAACGACCACCCGTACTCCTAATGGATGGTCATTACTAATTAAACAAATACCAACTGGATCGTATTTTAATAGAATTAAAAAACAATTCGTCGCCAGTGTATTATTGTGGTATATTCGATACGAATTTCCAGACGAATCGAATCATGTCGCCGAATCGAATCACGAATCGACGCTAGTATTGGCTAATCTAATTTCGAGGGGATATAATTGATTGGCTCTTACAGAACGGACATGTATATTCAACCAATCAGAACACTCCAGCGTGATTAAATATATTGATTAGACGACAAACCACGCGAATAATTTTGCAAGTTTATAGCGAATTCATAATATTTGTATTTTTTTTCAAAACAATTTTTTTGGTAGCTCGAACTAAAAAAATAAATGATTATCCTCCTCCCATCCTTAAAATGTGTTTTGATAATACTACTACCTACAAGTATAAATATATCATACCAAAACGTACATGAAGCACGACATGGTTATATGGTTATATAATATATATACATTAATAATATCAAACAATGCAGCTGAAAACAAATAATGGCATTGTTTGCCATTATTTGTTTTGTCCAGTCCCATCCTAACACCACACCAAAGGACACTACTAATGTTGCCTATACATGTCCTCCAGAGACTATCACTAGTATTACTAGTATGTTCCATATACTAGTCACTAGTATGTTCTATTCTAGTCGTAGGGTTCATCTCAACGCGCGTCTGTCAGCTACCTGTTAGAAAGTTTTACCTCGGGGGTGATGCGATGGCTCGTGAAATGCGCATGCAGTTGCGCATCCCGTTTCTGCAGCGCCGCGTCGAGGCGGGCCAGTTGCGGTCTCGGGGGGTACGGGTACTGCAGCACAAAATCGCGGCCCCAGTGGAGCAGCACGCTGAGCACGACTTCGAACGCCACCACGTCGTTATTAACGCATACTTTAACAAAGGGAAACACGAGCGCCGGCACTATGGACGTGGCTTCGCCGTAGACGGGGCACCAGTGCGCCAATGCCGACAGCACGCGCTCGAGGCGGCGAAAGAGGCGGGTGTTCTGGATCGGATACAGGTCGCGGAGCCGCGCCGTGGTGGCGTGGGACCCCTTGGCCATGAGTTGTTCGAGGGCTGCCGTGTTGTTGGGTAGACGGAGCATGTACTTCCACGCTAAAAGCCGATACTTTTCAGGAAACCGACCGTACGACCGCAACAGGTGCTGGAGGCGACGCCGCTGTACCGCGTATTCATGGGGGTTTAGCTTTGGCATTGCACGGGGGGGAGGTAATAACGGAGCGGGGGTTTCCCCAGACGAAGGAGATTGCTCTTGTGATGTGGGTGGGTTGGACGAGGGGGGGGGTGATTGTGGTGGAGCACCAAATAGTGATTCCATCAACGGCGACGAGGTCGGGGACTTGTGTGAAGCTGCTGCCAACCCCGATCGATGGGCCAAGTACGCCAAATCCTCTGCATGTTCCTCTTGTCGAATGCGTTGCACTTGGTGCGCTGTGATTCGCGCCATGTCCAAGTCATATAGAACCAAGCACCCATCACTATAGATAGCCACACAAGCCATACGCTAGTTAGTGAACGAGTACGAATTTGTGATGTTTGCGACAATCATATACGAACAATAGAGTTGATCTCCCATATCTATACTACTGTATATGTAAGAATCATAGAATTAATCATAAATCAATTACTCGGTATTTGATGTATTCTGCGACAAATGTTGTCCCGATTCGGTGTCAATCACTAAATTTCGTGGCGAAATTTCATTGGCTTTTCAAAGAAGAAAAAACAAAATGTAGCCAATCAGCGACAAGAACATTGCAGAACGACTATATTGAACGGTCCAGAAATTCGTCCCAACTCGACAATCGAGTTTGGATTGGTCGATATATCGACCAATCAAAACCCAGGACAATCATCAAGTGGCCAATCAGATTCACTCTTCGACCGATTCAACACCGAATCAGTGTGTGACTTCAATGAGTATGCACTGGAGGATTTTGTATACAAAAGTCAGTACAAACAATCGATCGATTTGGCGAATCAGCACAAAAGTAGTCCAAATTTTGATCAAAGAATAATATCATTTCAATAACAGAATCCACCAACCGACGAACGTCCTTACCTCGAGCACGCGGCGAGGTACTTGCCATGCACGTCAATAGCAAAAGCAGTTAGGGCTTTGACTTTATGGGCAATTTGCAGGGATACTTTGGGCTGCTTGGATGTGACATTGAGGAAATTCAACTGGCCGTCGTCGCCCAGCACTCCCATGATGTGCGCCGTCTGCGGCACAAACGAGTGCTACATATGTAACATGGTTGGGATTATATATACTACGTAGTACAAAGAATACTCCAAGTATTGTGCTTTTCAGTAATCAAATTTGCCTATTTTGGGGGATTGATGAAGTCGCCAAGTAATCGAGCAAAGGAGTATGATTGGCTACAAAGAATGAAGGTTGAAATGAAATATGACTGGTTAAAAAGATTGATTGATGCATCGCAGTCACAAAGAACTCAGTTTTATATGAAATTTCGAAGGTCCGGTTCAACCAACCGCCACAACACACAATGTTAAGAACGAAAAAAATAGTCACAAGAATCTAGCCAATCACGTCGTAGAAGCGCTTCTGGTCAACCAATCAGCATGTACTTTGGTAAATCACACAAATGTCAAGGTGCAATACACTTAAGTACCAAATTGCATGGTAGCACACACATATCCTCATACGGACGAAGCCAAAGTTAAACCTCCTAAAGTTTATATATCGATAGCATGAATATTCCGACAAGATACTCAGTCCCCCCTAAAGGACTTTGATTGGTCAAAATGTGTTACTACTACAATATGATAAGTAGAAATAGGTCATAGAGACGATTCATTGGCCAAAAATAGAGCATAAATATTGATCATATTCATCGACATGTTAAGGGAGAGTCGTACGCACATGTATAATGCGATGAACAGTCGCCGGCAGTTCGATGATGCGGACGAGGGTCTGAGACTCGAACTCCCACACGTAAATAAACGGCGACTGGCCACTACATGTGAACACTTGTGTAAACCAACAAGATATTGGGTACAGCCCAGTCCAACCTGGCGACGATGACGTGGCAGTTGTCGGACACGCAAAAGCGCTTCAACCCGGGGGGATGTTCGTATGCTGGCAGCGTGAAGCGGTACTGCAGCGCCAGCGTGCTGAGCTCCCACATCAAGATCGAGTCGTCGCGGAAACACACGGCCACGAGCTCTCCATTTCCGACGAATTGCGCGGCTTCGACGCCTGGACCGGCGTTGAGCGTGCGGAAACGAGACCAGTTGGCAGAATCCCACATGATCACGGCGTCCGCGGACGCCGTGAGCGCCAGTTGACCTGGCTGCTGGAACGACACACACGTGGGGACCTGCCGGTGGCCGCGCAACGTGCTCACAAGAGCCTTCGTCGCCACGTTCACGCACCGGACAGTCATGTCTTCGCATGTGACAAGCAGCTCCGTGCGCTGCTGGGGCGAGAACGCGCATTCCAGCGCCGGCGTGCCAAGGTGGCACACGAGGGAGTACCGGTTGCGCAGTGGAAAGAACGCAAACACGCGCCCTTTCTCGTCCACAGCGGCAAAGATGTCGCCACCGACAGAGAACGCCACGCATCGAAACCGAGCGTTGCCTGTGGCATTCGATGAGGTTGACGACGGCGGATATGGCCCTGCATGTGCATTCTTGAATGCCCGCAGAGGAAGATTTCGAAAGCTTCCCAAAAGCCCCAGAGGTCCGACCTGTGGGCGATGCGACCACATGACCCCCTCGTCGTCCGCGCTTAGCTTCAGCCGCACTTCATACACCATCGCGATCCGTGCCGATCGTTCCTTGAGATAAGCAGCACCCCAGCGCCGGATAATCGTTTGAAATCATCCGGTTATCTTCCATAGGATTGATTTCAAGCGAATGACATTTGGCATTGTGGTGAAAGCCTTCCCTGACGTTGCTCTAGTATGTACTGTACAGCGAGACCTTGCAATGCTGCATGTACCTTGGAATGGCATATACTACTACGACATGCATGTATTCGTTACGAACTTGCCTAAATGAGCTTCAACCCCTTGAGCCCAATAACCAGCAACAGGCCTTCGACGGTAGAAATGGCAAACAACGACAACACAAACCCAAGGCCATGGCCGCCATAGCCAGACGTGTAGCCAACTTGGTGCGCAATGCGACCAACAGCAAACACGACCGTGGCCACAAACACGGGAAATGCAAACACGTTGCCGGCCAAGAAGAGTCCGGCCACGAGCGAGCCATAGTTTTCGACCAGGTGCTGCAACGATCGATTCGCGCGGTTGTACGCGCCGACTTCGCCGTCGTCGATAAACACAATCGCATTCTCCTTCGCATCCTTGCCAATCGCCTTGTAAATGAACGGGTTCGAGCGCAGGTTGCCAGAGTTGCCGCGCATGATCTGCGCCTTGTGGATCGTCGGGTAAAAGTTCACAAACGCCACCGTGCGACCCAACAGCACGATCGCCAAGCACGCCCAGTGCAGCTCGTTGCCCAGCAGCGCCTTGATGCGTTTTTCGTACGTCGCTTGGGGGCCGAGGGTATACACCGAATACGCAATCGCCGTGCCGATGGCAAGGGGCACGGTCAATACGACGAACAACCCGCCGTACGATTTCTTCTTCTCCGCATCCGTCAAGGCAGGGAGGCCTGAGTCGTGCGTGGCCGATTTCGCGCCGTTGTCCGAACCCATTTGTCTTCGAGGATGCTGATGTTGGAGTGAGCGGTAAATCTCAACTGCAATTGTTCGGATACGTATCCGGATACCACCGTTACAAAATCTATCAACTGTTTCACGAACCTTCCAGATTTCGGTAACTCATGATGTTAACAATGATATTGTGTGTTCTCCTCAAAAAATTTCTTAAATCGCCCAAATGTCCGCGAAATGTACCCCAATGGCAAAAAGTGGGATTTCTCTCACAAATCGCCCTATTATGACGCAGTTTCCTGAGCTGAGTCAATGGACGATCCAATCTTGCAGTATAAACACTTGAGCGCGTAGGCTTCGTAAGCGAGTTTCTTCGTATCCCCAGCACACATACACACCTATGTACACACAGACATCTCATGTACACCAACTGGACGCCCGCGCTACCGCAACGTGCGACTACACCTCGTCGTACTGCCCACGCAGTTGCGGAAAAATGAGTTGGATTATCATTTTCTGCCCAAATCTTCGAAATTCTAACCAATGAAATCATCGCGGCTATTGATTATAGCAATGGCTCACAAAATAGTACTAAGGTATTTTGAGTAATACTACGTATAATAATTTTTAGTACTACGTAGTACTTACTATTATGTAATAACGTTAACGTTAGTAATAATCATGCTAACCAAACGATAGTAAGCTTACTGTACTATTAATAATACTAAGTAGGAGCTGGAAAAGTCAAGATTTCGCACTTGCTAAAACTATTATAGTAACGTTACTACTAGTATTAATAGGACTAGCTAAACGATAAGGATGATACAAACTAACGTGAATACAGTATCTGGTGGCTAGTGCTTGTAGAATACTTTTCATAGTACAGACTTGAGATTACGGTACACAAATAAATGACAGAGGCACTAAAACCCCCACAGAATCTTCAGTGCCATCAGCGCCACCATGCCCTCCAACGTGGCAGCCGCTAGCGTCGCCAACAAGTAGCCGAGCCCGTGGCTGTCGTAGTTCATCGCGAACGACACAACGTGCACAACCCACCCCCAGCAAAACGCAAGCGACACGGCAAACGCAGGGAACGCAAACACGGTCGATGCCAAGAACAGCGCGGCCAGCACAACGCCGCAGGTTTGTACCATATCTTGGAGGGCGCGGTTGGCTCGGTTGTACATGCCCACATCGCCCTCCGAGTCCATCACCACTACGTTCTTGGCGCAATTGGGTCCGATTTCAGTCAACAAAAACGAGTTTGCCCACAGTTGGCGGTCGTCCTTGGTCAGAAAACACCCCTTCACGGCTAGCGGGTAGCAATTCGCGAACGCCACCACGCGCCCCAGCACCACCACCGCCAAGCACGTCCACAACATATCCGCGTTCAGTGCGGCGGTCAGCATACGGAGATCGTAAGCGGACTTGTCGCCCTGCGTGTACACTACGTGCGCAACCACGACCCCTACGACGAGGGGGGCTACTGTCAGGATCAGCAGCGGGCCATACTTGGGCCCAGATTCGCTGGGGGGGACCTGGGGAAGGCCCGAGGGCGAGTACGTGATCTTATCGTCGTATGAGCTATCCATGGCAAGTGCAACAATGCCAACGAGGAGTTGATGACTGGGGCTTGTTGGGAACCAATGGGATATCATGTCGTTGGTACCCTTTTCGCACTAAAGTCAAAAACACTTGTTATCGTGAATATCGATATTATGAATGTTGCTACAAATTTCCTGATTGGTAACAAATCTCGCCTCGAAGTTTCATTAGATACTTTTAGCAAGTGCGAAATGTGAGTAGTTTACATACTTTGTACTTCGTTCGATTTTAGCGATGCCTGAAGGTGGAAGTTTAAAGAATTCAGATTTACTGTTAGCAAGAATGAAAAGTAAATCGCGACACACCAATGAGTACTAGTACCATCCAATATTCCTCTTTTCTGTTAACTGTAAATAAATGTTCTTGATCCCATGTGTTTTTTTACGTTAAATCAATTACAGTCTGGTCGGAATATAATAAGATAACGTGTCCGACCATTGATGGGCCAACTTTTCTTCATTTTTAATCTCAATTATTTCGGTTGTTTTTTGTTTTCCGAGTGGGAATGATACATTTTCGGATAGGTAATGATGAGTACTTTATGAATAACTCGAAGGATATCGACTTAAACAGTTTAGGAATGTACAGGATTTTTTTGAAGTCGAGCACTTTACACAGTCGACCATTGATGAGCCAACTTTTATACTTGAATTAAGTATGACGATTCCAGGTGTCAGTTTTTTTACATCCAGCGAGAAATAAAAATTAATAGAGGTTTACCAAGTCTGAACAGATATCACGTATTGGAGTCCCAGTTGGAAAATATCATTTCCAATGTTATTGGCACACGTGGAATAATAATTAATATACACCTCAT